TGAGCACTGGAAATACGGCTCATGCAGCTGACAGCTAAAGGCTTTTTCTTCTTGTTTTAAAACAGTTTGGCTATGTATCCTCGGCTGGCCTTGAACTCACTACACACTCAGGCTGCCTTCAGACTCACAGCCACCCAGCCTCCTGCATCATTTCCCCAAGGGCTGAAATTATAGACATGTTCTAACATCACATTTGTCTAATATGTTTTTCACTTCATTTCAGTGCACTTAAATGTTAAAAGCAGAAACCAGAAAGGCAGACTGCTCAGGATGGAAGGGTCTGTGGCGCAAGCTTGAGGACATGAGTTCAACCATGAACCCGTATAAAGGTAGGAGAGAACCGAGCCCACAAAGCTGACCCACAAGCGCCACATGTGCTCTGTGGCATGCGAAGGCCCTAACTCACATACATCACCCATATACAACGGTAATACTCATTAATAAATTAAAAATGAATAGCAAATAACAAACGAAAGTCACACAGACTATAAAACTTCATTGTTTTGACAGGATTGACAACACCTGGTTTGAGGTTTCAGATGAGATGTGTTGTGCCTGTAAAATGCATGCCATACTTCAACAACTTAGCTCCAGCAGAAAGAGGCAGCATGGCATATCCTGAGGCTCGGTTATATGTTGGAATGACAATGTTTAGACTAGGGAAATATGTTAAGATCGATTCCACTTGTTTCTGTGTAAGTGTGCGTGTGTGCACACAAAAGTGTGGGTGGGGGGCTGGAGAGATGGCTCAGTGGTTAAGAGCACTGCCTGCTCTTCCAGAGGTCCTGAGTTCAATTCCCAGCAACCACATGGTGGCTCACAACCATCTGTAATGAGATCTGGCGCCCTCTTCTGGCGTGCGGGCATACATGGAGGCAGAATGTTGTATACATAATAAATAAATAATAAAAAAAAAGTGTGGGTGGGTGCACAAGCATATGAAGATCAGATATTCATGTCAAATGTCTTCTCTATCACCCTCCAAATCTATCTATCTATCTATCTATCTATCTATCTATCTATCTATCTATCATCTATCTATCTATCATCTATCTATCATCTATCTATCATCTATCTATCTATCATCTATCTATCTATCTATCATCTATCTATCTATCTATCTATCTATCATCTATCTATCATCTATCTATCTATCATCTATCTATTATCTATCTATCTATTATCTATCTATCTATCTATCATCTATTGAGACAGGACTTTCAATGAATTTGGAGCTTAGCAGTTCGGCCAGGCTGGTGAACAAGGACCCTCTGCCTGTTTCCCCAGAGCACAATTATAGGCTCACACCACTGTTTGAAGCTTTTTAGGATGCAGAGGGTACAAACCCAGGCTCTCATGATTGTTTGGCAAGCATTTTACCAACCGAGCCTTCTTCTCAACCCCTAATTCCATTTCTTTCTTTTTCTTTTTACTCATTTTTGGTTGGGGTCGGGGATTGCTTGGTTGATTGAATTTGTGTTTGTTTATTTTTTGTTTATCTTTTGAGACTAGGCTCCTATAACCCAAGCTAGCCTCAAACTTACTACAGTAAGAGGCTGACCTTAAACTCCTGATCCTCCTGGGTGTTACCACGCCCGGCTTTGATTTTAGTATTTGTGAAATACTTGCTGGTAGCCAGGCTGGCCTTGAATTCAATCCCACCTTTGAGTGCTAGAAGTAGAGGAGGACACGGTCACTCTTGTGTCCTTATTGTTACTCCATAAAATGGTTAATTACACTTATGGCTTCTTTTCTGCTTCTAGTGAACAGGGCTGGGCAAATCACATCAACACCTCAGACATTAAGCACTGTGTTTGTTTGTTTTTCGAGACAGGGTTTCTACGTGTAGCTTTGGTGCCTGTCCTGGAACTCACTCTGTAGACGAGGCTGGCCTTGAACTCACAGAGATCCTCCTGCCTCTGCCTCCCAAGTGCTGGGACTAAAGGCGTGCGCCACCATTGCCCGGCTGGCACAGTATTACTTGAGTCTCTAAAGCTGTTCTATCTTCAAACTAAAATTTCAGGGGCTATAGTCAGTATTCAGCACCTGACGTGTTTGCCACCTCTCTCCCTGTCCAAGTCCTGGGGCTGGCCCTTTCTCTGTACATGCTCACTGGAGTCCCAGACTAGCACACTCTCCATTACCTTTAACTGGCACGTTCTCTCTCCTTAGCCCTCTAATGCATCTCCTGAGACAGCCTTCCTAGACCCCTCGGATCTAAACAGGCCACTCTCTACCTTGCTCACTCCGCCCCTACGGAGGTGTCACCTCATACTCTGCCCTGTGGAGAGACTTAGAGACTTCAGTTGATCCCCCTAGCCTGTCCTCTGCCTGAGATTGTATCCAATCATCGGCTCCCCAGACCTGAGGTCTGGGTAGGAATGCTCACAAGGCAAAGCCCAAGTCCAAGCTGGAGATGATGGTACACCAGCGAGTCAAGTGGGGGACCTCACTAGGATGTCTCAGCTCCACACGAAGATGCAGAGCTAGACTGTCTTCCTCCTGACCCTCGAATACCCCTTTCCTGCAGAGATTTCCTGAGGCCTGCGTATCATCCTAGAGGCCAGCACCCTTCCGTATCCAGAGCAAGACGCCTCATCCCAGCTAGTCCCTGCTGTGCCCAGTCACTCTCTCAGTTGCCCGGGTTACCCTTTGCTCCCAAACCCTTGACCTCAAGGTCTCACTTCAACACCCTCAACAACATCATCCAACCTACTAACCACGCTCTGCTGCCTGCCACTCTCTCAGGACCCACCACAGGTTCTGCCCAGCCACAGGCTGCTTCACCTCCAGAGAGGAGCTGGAGGACAGGGCAGTGACAAGCGTCCAGAAAACACCAGGGGGTGAAGTTGCAGGGTTCTTCAGTCCCTTTACTTCCCAGTCTACACAAGTTGAGTGACTGCCAATGGCACAGAGCGCCCTGGACCCTCGGTTACCTTCCCTGCTAAAGTAAGGGCGCTGGGTCTGCCTCTTCGCCTCTCTTTGGGGCTAATGCAGAGATCCGGGGGAATACAGAAGAAAGGATGAGGAAGGAGGAGCCCTGTGCAGGGCCCCTGGTCCTGAGGTATCTCAACAGAAACCACTTCTCTGCTGGATCTACTCCGTTCTTGCTGAAGCAGGGCAGCCATGAGGGACCTCACTCAGGTCTCCATTTTTCTCAATCCTGCAAAACTTCTAAGACTACCAAGTCCTTCTTAGCCTCCATACCACAGACTGAGATTTCATGCAAAGTCTTCCTAGAGTTCAAAACTACTAAAGTTTCAGGACTCGGAGGACCACGGAGCACCCATTCCTACATCTCATTCTGAACGGTCATGTTTTGCTTGTTTGTTTTTGTTTCTGTTTTTCGTTATCTTTGAGACAGACCCTTGCCGTGCAGCCCACACTGGCTCTGGGCTCACATTCCTGCCTCCACCTGCCCAGTGCTAGGATCACAGGCATGTGCCACTGCATCCCAACTTCTGCGTGCTGTCCTCTGATCCCCACGTGTGTGCCATGGCACTGGTGCACCCCATAAATAAATAAATAAATAAATAAATAAATAAATAAATAAATGTTTTAAAATCAGACTCCCCAGAGCAGCCATCATCCTCAGTAAACAAGCTGATTAGCCAACCTTCAAGGACACCTGGCCCCTATAACCTACTGTGTGCCTGGCTGAGAGGCCAAACTGGTCAAAGACAGTTAACCTTTAACTCTCTAGCGCCATGGCCTCCCGCCATCAAAACGTGTCTGTTAATAAACATTAAACTAGATTTTTTTTTTTTTTTGCTTTCTCCAAAAATTTCTGCCTGAGTTTTTCAGCTGCAAAGGAGCATCCAATAACCTACCCTTCACTGTGATCAAACATAGCCAGACACCAGCTTGATACATCTGCTTGGAGTCCATGTGACACGGGGAAAAAGATGACACCATCAACTCCATAAACCAACAGAGGTGGCAGGCCCACTGCCTCCCGCAGCAAGCTGGCACAGCAACCCACTGAGTTAAACACTTCTGACATCTGTTCCGAAGTATGGGAGCAAGGGAAGGAGGTGAAGCTGACTTCGAGAACCATGAATCATGCCAACTTGGACTACCACTGCACACAGAGGCCAGCTCCAATGCCTGGGGCATAGAGACCCCAGGCCAATCCAACACTGGGCTCACTAAATTTCCTAGGGGCAGATGTTAAGTGATTAGGCATGTATTCGTGACAACAGGCATCCCTTACATGATGCTGAGGAAGAAATGTGCCAGCAGATAGATAATTGAATCAAAGTTCCTGTCATTCTGCTCTCCAGCTCCAGACCACAGCCTGCATGCCTGCACACGCACACAGACACACATACACACACATGCACATTTTCTGATTAAGGTTTTACAGACTCCCAGGGGAGTCTTTTAGTGGACGGAGGCCAGGTTACGGCAGACTGTGCTCTTACACAGAGGTGGCCAGCTCCAATAGCGCAGGTAGCACTGGAGAAGGTATCATCTTTGAAATCCCCAGGAGGCCCTGCTGCTCCTTCATCTCAGGTGCAAGGGCACAAGGGGGATAGTGTATTTCCCTCCACCCTTCATCACCATCTCTCCACAGAGGAGTGTTTCCAGTTCCTGCCCTTTCTCCCCATACGTGCCCTTCACTGCAGAGCAAAGCAGTGGCTGCCCCTCCCCAACCCATCTCTTGTCTCCAAAACCCAAAGAGGAGACATTGTCGCCGAGCTAAGACCATCTACACAGCACCCTGGGGTCCTCTGTTCTCGGGATCCTCTTAAAAGCAGGGAAGCACAGGCCACAGTGGTGTTTCTCACCAAAGGAGTGAAAATGGGTGGAGACCAGCAAGGAAAGAGTCCCAGACAGGAGCTTGTCTGTCTTCCTTGTTTCAGAGAAAGGACAGAGCCTGGGAACTTGGTCCTCTGCAGGTAAGGGCGTTGAGCTGGCACTTTTGCTCACTCTCTATGAGTGCCCCTCGTAGACCCTATTTGGTCCCTCCCTGACAGGGATGCGTAGCCATCTCTTACCTTCATCCCTCTTGCGCTTGTTGGTGTCGGCACTGGGGGACGTGATGCCCAGGATGCCGCTGATGGAGTATGAGGAGCCGGCAGAGTCGGTGCTCACCGACGACACCTGCGTCACCGAGCCTGTTGACACTGTAGAAGGAGAGGGGTGTGGGCCTGTCACAAGGGTGCTCACTAGAAACACGGGGCTGGGTACAACTGCCACAGACCCAGCAGAAAGGAGTGCAAGCACAGAATAAAAAGGGAATTGCTGCTGCCGGGTGGTGGTGGCGCACACCTTTAATTCCAGCACTCGGGAGGCAGAGGCAGGTGGATCTCTGTGAGTTCGAGGCCAGCCTGGTCTACAAGAGCGAGTTCCAGGATAGGCTCCAAAGCTAGAGAAACCCTGTCTCAAAAAACCAAATAAATAAATAAATAAATAAATAAATAAATAAATAAAGGGAATTGCTAAGATCTCTGCCAGTCCAAGGGTGCAGGAGACAGGAGGGCACTGTAGGAGGGCAGCCGGTGCCACCTCCAATGCCAGGAAAAGACCTAGATGCATACTTGAATCACGTTCATCTCTGCTTACATTCCAGCCATGCCTGCATACAGATATTCTCTCTCTCTCTCTCACACACACACAGAGTAAATAATTTATAATAAAAGAATGCCCTCCACCGTGAAATATGGAGAAAGACAACATGTCCCCTCCCACTGCCACCCCGCTTTTCACTTGGCCGTTACAGCACCCCAGAGTGCTACTGATTGTTTTACTGTTCGCCAAACAAGGCGAGTTGGTTTCATATGGTGAAGAGCTTCAAAGTAGTCTAGCTCCGCAGCACTCATAGCTATCCTCAGGTCTAAACTTTCCCTTCCTGGAAGGGGAAACATAGGTGGTGATTTACTGTAGCCAGGGCTAGGTCTCTAAGTCCCAGAGGGAAAAAAAGAGGAGGGACTTAAGCAAGTTTCACAATGACTAGAGTCCAGGGGACCTATGAAGGTTCTCTCTAGCTATGGGCTGTATTTCCACTTAGGAGATGTGGGGGTTCTTCCTCTCTTCATGGAGACTAGTAGACCGCTCTCACACACCTCTCCCTGAGCCGCCAGCTGGAAGCAGATGGAGCCTTTACTCTGCAGAGCAGGGCACGGGTGGAGGAATAAGCCACTTTTCCATGGAGCAGAGGCAGTCTCTGGCTCCAGAGACCTACAGGGTACAAGGCCTTTCTGTTCACATTCAAGCTTGAGTTTAGATCTCCCTTAAGAAACACCAATGCAGAAATTGCTAACTTCCCTTTCCCTTCACCAAAAAAAGAAAAAAAGGCTCCTCAAAATAGATGTATGCAAATCCCATGACCTCTCTGTATTGAGGTGCAAGAACAAAGGAATAAAGAGACCACTTGGTGCGTCAACAGCCACGCGGAAAACAAGGTTGGCTGTGTCCCTGACAGAACGGATGACACTTGGTTACTTATTTTGCAGTCACACTGGGCACAGAGGACTCAGGTTCCAGTTCTGTCTTCACACAGGACTTTAGAGTCGTCACTGAACCTGTGAGCTCCAACTGTCGTTGATGCTCAACAAGTCTGTAAACTGTATGAAGCTGCATACATGTGAGATAAAGTCTTCATAGAAATTTCTGGGGTAAAACAAATCACTCTGCTGAATTACTGTAGAATTATTCCTGTAATGCTACTGAGGGATAGTTTGATTCTTTTTCATGCTATGTGCTCTGAAACAGTTAAAGCCACAAGTGAAATCTCAGTCACAAACACCCCACCACCCACACCCAGGAAGCCCTTCTCAGCCCTGTCTTTCCATCCAGCAGAGAGATGGCCCCTTCCTGCTACTCATGTAGACCTGTTTCCTGGGCTTTGATGTTTTGTTTTTCAAATTCCCTTCCCACATTCTTCCATGGGACTGGAAGCCCTCGAGGACAGGGACTTTTGTCTGGCATTGCTCCCCAACCCCAGGGTTCTCATAGCAAGGGCATAGTAAAGTCTGTCTAATGGCAGTACAGAATGAAGAATGGTTGTGGGCAGCAAGGACTTCTATCTTACCTTCCTTCAAAGAGCCACCCTTGGGGAAATCAGAAATCACAGGGAACACCCATTTTGTATCCCTTCCCCATACAACAAGGCAGAAACTGATGCTCAGAGGTGAGACACTGGTCTAGTTGACTGGGTGAGCTAATGACAGAATTAGAGCAATAAGTCAGGTCTCTGCCAGAAGTTCAGGTTTTTCTTTAAAGAAAGAATGGCAGTGGAGGCTGGAGAGAAGGCTCACTGGCTAAGAGCACTTGCTAAGAGAACTTCCAGAGGACCTGATTTCAGTTCCCAGAACCCGTATCAAATAGCTTGACTGCCTTTAACTCCAGCTCTGAAGGATCCATCACCCTCTTCTGGTCTCCTCAAGGAAGCACACACACATTGCACATACACACCGATTTACCTGGCAATGATAAATGCACTGAATACTGCACAACCTAAGATGCAGTGCTGCAGAATTCTTGGGGTCTGTGGTACCCAAATCGGCAGACGCCTGCTGAATAGCCACCTGCTTCCTTACAGCAGAGCAACTTTCCCCCAGCAACCCAGAAGTATCCCCTTTGTGCCAAGTGGAGAAATGACATCAAGAACTGCCTTGATTATCAATGTCATTTTTAACTCCTCTTAGAAGAGGAAGCAAGAAAAAAGTTTAGACTTTGGAGTGTGACAAGTTAGGAGTCCACCCTTATGAATCATGGTCGCTTAGACTTCCCCTGGGACCTCAGAAACCCCACAGGCAGCCCTCAACAGTTGGCAGCGTACGAGAGAGTGAAGTGAGAGCAAGAGAGGAAAAAAGTTTGGGAAGTTTCGCTACATCTTCACTCAAGACTGCAAGTGCACAAAGAATTGCAGAAGGCTGGTTATAGAAAAAAAAAAACACATTCAAAACTACTTACTGACTAATGATGCAGAAAATGTTATGAATAAGTATCCCTTTCTTGATTTATTACTTTAATTATCTGACATTCTATAGACCCCCATTAGTGGATTTTTTTTGGCTTAGATTTCAATTTTCTGTCTCATGGTGAAAGCTATTTATCATAATAATCAGTAAAATTCAAAACCTTTTAGCGGTATTTATAAAATTCATTTGCCAGGTTCAGCCCTTGGAGAATGACAAAGAGAGAGCATTAGGACGCGTGTGAAGTGTTTTATGCAGAATTATCTGTCCATAAGAATGATTAAAAGTTCTTTAGAATATTTGGAGCCCATTAGATTTTCAAATTTTTTTAAAAAGTTCTTACCTATGCTGTGACTGGAAGCTGGGACTGCCTGGTTGGGGGGCTGCTGTACTTTTGTCCGGATGATCCTGTAGGCAGTTAGGGGGGAAAAAAAGAAAAACAAATGACTATTTACCATTAAGAAGGAAAGAGAGAGACCCTGAGGCTGGGGAGTGGCTGGCTCCCTTGGTAGAGTGCTCACCTAGCGTGAGCAAAGCCTTGGGCTCCATCCCCAGCAAGGATGGAGCTGTGTGTGTTGGTACCACACCCACAGTCCCAGCACTAGGGAGGAGGGGGAGGGAAGGAAATCAGAAGTTCAAAGTTATCCTCAGCTATATAGCAAGTCCAAACCTAGTGTAGCATACATGAGCCCCTATTTAAAAAAAAAAAAAAAAAAAGGAGGAAGTGGTGGAGGAGGAGGGGGAGGAAGAGGAGGAGGAGGAAGAAGAGTGAAAAAGAAATCTTAGCTAGTTATGCAGAGATACAGCAAAGGGGCCGGCTGGGTGGGAGATAATGGCCCCAACTGGGAACTGTGAGTTCTGAGGAGTTTTCTCCCTGGGTGTCTTTGGATAGTTCGCATCACCCCTGAACCCTCGGTGCCTCTCTGTTCAGTTTTTTTTTTTTTATTTTCTTTGTTTTGGTTTGTTAGGTTTTCTGAGGCAGAATCTCATGTAACTCAGGCTAGCCTTAAGCTCCCTATCTACCCAAGGCTATCCTTGAAATCCTGATCTTCCTGACTCTCCTAGGTGCTGGGATTACAGGTGTGCCCTACCACACCTGGCTGAGTGATTCCTTTTCTGAAGAAAGAAGCTGATGTGCTCCTGGTCCAAGTGGGCTGAGCTGGCTCGCAGGTGTGTATCTTCAGCCCCACCAGAGACTCTTCCCCTCACTCGAGCTCAGCTTCCACCTGCAGGACTAAAGAACTGAACCTGTCTGTCCTCTGTCAGGGCTCTCATGTTGCTTTCTTTGCCCTAAAGACTCCACAAATAAGATTAATACACCCACCAGGGAAATTAACTAGAAAGGATGTGCTTGACAAACTCTGTAGAAAGTTTCCAGCTGTGGTCTCTGAGAGACCGAAGATTCCGGTTCCCTGGCCGGAGCAGCCTTCAGGGCCGCCTTAGCAAAGGTGCAAACTGACCACAGAGCACAGAACCCAAGTTCACACCAGAACCACAAAGGATGGAGATGCCCCAGCTACTGCCAAAGATGCAGGAGCAGGTTCAACAGACTGCACACTTGTACAACCAAAACTTTATTCAATTAAAACCCCAAACTTTATAGAAAGGACCCACGCAGCTAGAGCCAGGAGAGTCCCAGTTTGCCTTCCCAGAATCCTTGTTGTGGTTCTGACATGAACCTGACCATGATCCTGAGTGAGTCCGTTTCACTGTGGGCCTCAGCACAACCGGGGAGTTCCCCTAGGTCATTCTCCACTTGTTTAAGTAATCAAATACTCTTCATAAACAATGAAAACCTTGCATGAAGGCTCGCTGTATTTAAGCAGTAAAGGCATTGGTGGCTTCCCTGTGCCCAGAGTCTGGCAACACTGACACCCTGCAGGCGCTTGGGGAACCTTGGTGCAGACTTCCAGCAGGACCCACACCTGGGGCCTCCAGGAGACCAGGGCACATAATAAAATGGTGACTTTCTCAAGAAAAGTGCTGTTCCAAACTATTACTTGGTAGAATTTTACGTCATTATTAAAGTACCGTGTGTTCTTTATAGACTGCTGTTTACATGCCTGTATATGTGTGGATGTTTGTGTGTGCCCATGAATAGTGTGTGAGTATGTGTAAAGGCCAAAAGACAACCTCAGATGTTGTTACGGGGCTAGGCCGGTGGCTCCAGAGATCTGCCTGTGTCTGGTACAATGGAGCTGGGAATATAACTGTGTGTGTGTGTGTGTGTGTGTGTGTGTGTGAGAGAGAGAGAGAGACAGAGAGAGAGAGAGACAGACAGAGAGAGAGAGAGAGAGAGAGAGACAGAGAGACAGAGAGACAGAGAGAGACAGAGAGGAAAAAGATAGACAGACAGAGGACAATTTTCTGGAGTCTGTCCTGTCCTTCACCATATGTGCTCCAAGGATCAAAAATCCTCAGGTTGGCAGCAGGCACCATTGCTGGCTGAGCCATTCCACAGAACTCTACCCAGCTTTTGTAAATGTGGATTCCGAGGAATCAAACTTAGGTCCCTGCTTGCACAGGGCAAGTCCTTCACCTCCTGAGCCATCTCCCCAGCCACAAGCAGACGATGTGGATGACATGGGGACATATAAAGACGATCTCTATCAGACATGGGGCTGCACGCCTGTAATCCCAGCACTTAGGACGATGAGAAACAAGATTGAAAGTTCGAGGCCAGCCTGAACTATATATTGAGACCCCTATCTCAAAAAAACAGGGGGGGAAATCACTGACACTGGATATGTTATTATGCCCACATTCCTGCTGCTGTATGAATTTCCCACCAACAAATCAGAACCAAGCTGTGCACAGTTTCATGTCTTGCATTTTTCACACGGCATTCCACCAGGAACTCTTCACATGCCAAACCATTGCGTCTGCGTCTAAATGCTCATTTTGAGGATGCCCCGGGTTTCCAGCTTCTGCTGAAAGTGGCAGGTGCCTCCCATTAACCTCACTAGATGGCCAGCCCTGCCTGGCCTGACCTTACAGCTTGGCATAGGCACCCAGGGCACTTGGCATCGTTAGCTGATATCTTGGAATAGACTTGTTCATTCGATGCTATAAGCCTAATCATAGAGCATTTGTGTCTTGGCCCCCTTAGTGAAGCCATCTGCCCTTTTCTGATGAGTCAGCTTAAACACCTCCTCAAATGCAGCCAACATGTGCACACATCTGTTTGTCTGTCACAATATTTAAAGTAGTTGTTTCCACTTGGCAAACACAGAATATATAAAACAAAGACCTGGAAGCAATAATTCCTTGACCTCTTGAATTATGTTGCTACCCAACCTAGTTGAGTTTTTATTTTTTTAAGATCACATTGTAAGTGTGTGTGTACGCACGCACACACACACCTCAGAACAATTTGCAGGAGTCACCGCCTTCCCCCTTGTGGGTCGAAGGGATCAAACTCAGGTTGTCAGACTCGGTGACAAGTCACTACCTGCTGAGCCATCCTGCCAGCCTTGATCTAATTTTTCTGTGTGTGTCTACAGATGCAGCAGATGAGTGAGCATTCAGATATGCTAGATATATGTTCAATTTCCTACTGAAGTCCAACATAAATCCCTGCATTTTTATGAAATTTGTCAAGAAACAAAAAATGTACATATTTTCACATTTCTTTTCAAATACCTGTAAACCACTGGCAAAGCATTATGAAAGGCCATAAACCATTAACAGGCCTCTTGCAGCACAGGGAGGAAGCAAACAGACCCCAGAACCAAAGTGCTGGCGCTCAAATCCAGCCTTCAGTTTCTCATCTCCATGACCTGGAGGTTGCTCATCTGAAAAATGGGAGCAAGAATCATTCCTACAGCATGGAATTATTATTATTAGGGCTGAATTAATAAACTGCTGAGATGTGGCCGATCCATATCAAATGTCCAATAAATGTCACATGTCATCATCCTCATTACCGCCTTCATAATGACGAACAAGCAGCTTCAACTTTAAAGCATTCAGATGCTTCCCATTTGCCTAAGGCACAGGGAGCAAGTGTGATACCTCACCCAGGAGGCTGAGGCAGGAGGATTCTGAGCTCAAGGCCAGCCTGGGTGTCATAGTGAGACCATATCTAAATGAACAAGACCCATCCTATAGTGCTAAGCATAAGCATGGCCCAAGATAACACGATGTTAACAGACATACAGACGAGGAGACTGCAGTCCAGCACGCCAGGGTCACACAGCACAGGGCCAGCCCAGACTCCTAGCACCCAGGCCTGAGCACTTTCCCCTGAGCCACATTTGGAGGAAGCGATCCCTCTGCTAACCACATCCTGCATGAGACATAGAAGCTGTTTGGACTCAGAATCCCTTTTTCAGAATCTAAGGGATTTTTACATTATAAGCATTTAAGGATTCCATTTCAGTATCCTTCCTCCCTTTTGAAAAACTAAGTCCCCCCTGACCACATCTGCCATCATCTCTCACACAATTTTACTGGAAGAGATCCTTGCAGCGAATTGGAAAAGGTGAGATGGGGGCTGGGATGTAGCTGGATGCTACGGTTCTCGCCTAGCACACACGTACACAGTGCTGCCTTCAGGCTCCAGGACCACCTGAGTTGGGTGTGATCCCAGTACGCTCAGGTAAAGGTAGAAGGGCCAGAAACTCAAGATCATCTTTGGCTACATAGCAAGTCGAAGGCCGGTGGAGGTTATATGAAACTCTGTCTCAAGAGAGGGGCGAGGGGCTGAGGGGATGAGGAGACAGCTCAGCTATTGGACTGCTTGCCGTGCAAACAAGAGGACCAGAGTTCAGAACCCAGAGAGACTCATGTGAATGCTGGGTGGCCCGTCCACAACTCTAGCCTCAGAAGGTAGAGAACAGAGGATGACCATGACACGATGGCTACTTAGATCGTTAGCAAGCTATGGGTTCAACTGAGAGACCCTGCCTTAGTCAATGAGGTAGAAAACCGAGGATGATTCCTGACATCAAACTCCAACTTCTACACACACACACACACACACACACACACACACACATTGCTAAAGAGGAGAGAGAGAGAAAACCACTGGAGGGACTCCAGCCAGCCTGAGCACGGCCACCATGGCTATCACAGGTTGGGACTGGTTGGCTGTGGGTGTCTTGTACCAAATACTGGTCCCCTCAACCACACTGCTAAAGCTACCATCAACACAGAGATGCACAGGCCCTCAGCTACACTGAGAATCCAAAAGTCTGGGACTAAGCTTTTGGTGTTTCCACAGCCACACTGAAGCCTGCCACCGGCATGAAGAAGGGGAGTGAGGGAACGTCTCAGAAGACTTGCTGCCAAAGTCGAGGTTAAAAAGCAGAAGTAAGACCGGCATGGGGGCGCATGCCTGCAATCCCAGCACTCGGGAGGCCAAGGCAGGTGTATCGGCAGTCGCAGACCTGTCTGGACCACAGGGTGAGCCCCTGCCTCCAACAAACAAAACAAAAATAAATAAAGTAGTTAACAAACTACCACTCAGCAGGCTGCCTCCAGCTCCTGCAGATTGTTTTATTGTTGTTTACTGAATAAATAATAAGTATGTGTAAGCTTTGAGCCTTTCCATAGAAACCTGGCCTGAACCAGTAATGCTGGCCCCACTTTCCCACATGCACACAACCAGCTGGTGCTAAACAGAGCTGGTCTCCCTCACCGGGAATGCCACTTGTCCCAGCACTTGGCCACTAGTTTAGGAGCCACAGAAAAATAAAAGCAGTTCTGCAGTGGACGGCATAGGCTTTCCAGTGAGATTGGGGTCAGGGGTGCATTAGTAAGAGACTGCATCACGTTTGGGGCACTCTCACTGAAGGTGCAGTGAGGAGCCCCCGAGTGGAGCACTGCCAAGAGCTGGGGATCCCAGGGATCGGCAGTCAGCAAAGCATACCGTGATGCCCTGAAATAGGGAAAGGATGGGGGTGTCTCCTCCTGGCCTCCTTCCCACAGGCCTCATCTTATCATTGGTTCTACTCTGGTCTCTGTCTCAATCACTTTTCCCATCTGGGCCTCAGCGCTACACCTGCCACAAGACAACAGTTCTGAGGGGAGATCACAGACAGAGAGGCCATGTGGGGACACAATAACTGGCTACATGTGTGGCCTAAGATACCTAGGAGGTCCCAGAATCTAGCCATGGCCCATCGCCAGCAGCAGAACCTCCAGTAGCACAGTTCTAGACACACAGAATCAGACGTGCCAGGCAGTCCTGGGCCACTCATTCAAGTCCACCCTCCAGGGCCTTTGCCACGTCTGTAACTACTTCTCGCTTTGCTTTACATGTCTCTTTGAAATGATTTACTCTGGACTTATAGGTAGTTTTAAATCACACTTGTTTTTTTATTTCCCTTAGGTGACAGTGCATGTGGAGATCACAGAACAACTCTCAGGAGTTAGTTCTCTCCACCACGTGGCTCCTCAGGCATAGCCACAAACGCCTTTGCCCACTGAGCCATCTCGCTGTCCCTCAGATGGATTCTGTAAGGCTACCAGACCTCCCTACTGTAAGTAGGTAGGAGAAGGCTCGCAGTGTTCCATATGGCACTTAGATTTTCCTAAATCGTGTGACAATGAATTCCACCGCATTCCAGAAGATCAAGCTGGAGCCCTGCTCTGTGCTGGCCTTGAAATGAATTGCCACCATTGATAAGTCTAGATGTTTCTCGTGTGCATGCATCCACACCTGCTTGCACACAGATAGCAGGGTTTTAGACTCTCTGAGGAGTGGAAAGATTCTGGCTCGCACTCCCAGCGGCACTCAGCTGACACTCGGGAGTGGCTGCCACCCACAGGGCTGTGCTGTCTCACCTGCCTCAGTCCCCAGAGCCTCTGGAATCTCACACATCACCTGCGTCCTTCATTAGCCATCTGCCTGCCCCACCCACGGAGGCAATGAAGTTTGTGACTGCCGTGGGGCACCCAGGGTTATTCTGTGGGCCATGTCATTGTGTGTGTGTACCCTACATTGGGAAACATGTGAGCTCCCCAAATCCTGGCCAGGTGTTTGTGCAAGGTTACTCTACAGAGTGGACCAGCTTCTCCACTATTACCTCTATTCCTGCCTCTCCATTCTCCAGTGAGCCCCTGCTGGACACTTCCTGCCTCTTAAGGATCTAAGCGGCATGGTGCCTCAACGTGGGGACGCTGGACTATGTCTAGCTGTGCTGCCAATCACATTTGAAAGCTTAGACCAAAAAAGAGAACATTAAATAGCTCATTAGTTATTTTCATCCTGATCGTACACGGAAATACTTTTTTTTTCTATTCTGGGTTAAGTAAATATAATCACAATTAATTATACATATTTTTTGTTTTTCTTAATATCTACCAGGAAATTTCAAATTGTATCTACTAATAATAGAGTGATAGGTATCAGTAAAATTCACATCTTCCACTAAACTTTCGCTGGAAAGGTGGCTTGGATCTCTGATTTGCCAACTCTCTGTTCTGATAGCAGAATGCTATCATTCTGAAATGCAATTTACTTTTAAAAATAAAAACAATAACCTGGATACTCAGGGAAAAAAATCAGGTTTGTTCTGTGTCCAGGAAATCCTGTAATGAGTCAGGTGTGGAGAACTCGCAACTGTAACCTTTCATAACTCAGAGAAAAAAAAATAGACTCTACCCCCTTCACTCCAGATCCCTGGCCTTGTCCCCTCCTCCTCAGTTCTACCCGCCTGGGCAAATCTAAAAGGATTGCACCCAATTTCTGTCTTCTTCAGCACCTTGCAAGACGGCAGGGCCTCAGTAGGGATTGGGTGGATGAATTAGCAGGACTTAAAAAGCCAGCCCATCCATCCCATGGTGATGCTGGGCATCTGAGCCCACCGTGCTGCCATGGGGACCAGAGGAGACTTCCTCTTTCTTTCAAGAGTGAGTAATTCTCTGTGCTCAGACAGGCTCAGCACTAGCCGCAGTAGGGTGTGACTCTGCAGAAATCGGAATGGTTCAATTCCAGGATGCCCGACTTTTTTCTAATGTGTGTTTTAGAGAACAAATGTCTCTCTGTTCAGCTCACCATTCCATCCCCGACTGTGAGCTTCTCGGTTTAATTGTTTATTTCTTTGGGTTTTTGAGGCAGGATCTCAAGTCTCTCACTTGAACTCTCCATGTCGCCCAAGGATGATGTGAACTCTACTGTAATTCCAGATACTGGGATTACAGACCTGTACCACTACACCAGGTTTAAGAGGAACTAGGGATGTAACTCAGGGCTTCCTGCCCGCAAAAGAAGCAGTCTACCAACTGAGCTACACCCGTTGCTCCTGCCTGCATGCTTACATGGGTCAGAGACTGCACTATCTATAATAGAAAATTACCTTCTCCAGGCAGTGGTACATCTATAAACCCAGCATTCAGGAAGCTGAGACAGGAGGATCATTTCAAGCACATAGCAAGTTCCAGATCAAAGGAAAGGAAGAGAAAGAGAGGGGGAAGAAGGGGAGGGAGAAAGAAAGGAAGGAAAATTTTCTTCTAGAATGTAATTTTCATTTTATGTAGTATTTTATTTTTTGAGTTGGGGGTCTTGCTATGTAGCCCAGGCTGGACTCAAAATCACTGTTTCTCCAGCCTCCAGAGTGCTTGGATTACACAGATGTATTATCACATCTATTCCAAGTCAGAAGTTGATTTTTAAAGCTTTGATTGTATCGGACAATATGCTTTGGATCAGCCTAAGGGAGAGAGAAGAAAGGACACCATGTGAACTCCAGGAAAACACTATTCCTGGCACCATGGTGGAGTAGGCTTTTGTCTCTCCATGGGTGAGAGCTGAGGGTGGGAGCAGGCATCTTTTTGACTCTGAAGCACCTGATATCCCTGAAGACCTACACTAGAATCATTAGAAAACCCACATTAGATTCCTGGGCTCTCAGAAAAACACAACACAACACAACACACACACACACACACATACTCACACTCAGGCTCACACAAGATTTTGCTGAGATCTCACTTCACTTTGGCAGCAGGGTTAGAACAAAGAGCTGCATGTCCCCAGCCCAAAGAGAACTTCGTTTCCCACATCTTGTGCTTCAACCTCTGTCCAAACTGGAGGCTGGACTGTCTGCCTGGGAGCCTCTGAGATGAGTTATCACTCAGACCTGGAGCCCCTGGCAGGGACAGGGTGTTTCTGAAGCCCTGATCAGGGCAGTTTATACTATCTACAGTTTATACTATATGATCTGCACAGGTCCATAGTGAACGGGGTGATGCCAATCACTCCTGGCTCAGAAAACTCAAGTGGCCTAGGTGTTGGCACAGTGTCCTCTCCCTCAGCTGAGAAGTCCTGTCCCTTTTAGAGAGGAGAAAGGTAACAGAGTCCAGCAAGCACCATTGTTCTCCCTGTTCACCTCCCCAAGGAGAACAAGCAGATCTTCAGAGAGGAGGAGCAGAGATCCTTCAGTAGGTCAGCCCCAGCTCACCCTGCCCTCACCTGTTGATGGAGCTGACGCTGGGCACCGTGTCATTGTCACAGACTCGCTCTGCCAGCAGCCGGTCCCTGATCTCCCAGGCAAACATGGTAGGATTTTGGCGTTTATACTCAGCGATTTTTTCGACCACTTTGGGAGTGGCAACCTTTGGTTTGGATCCGCCAATCACCCCCGGCTTGATGCTTCCTGTTTCATAATACCTAGACCCAAGAGAAAAAGGCCACAGTTAGCCATGGGAGCCCAGAAGAAAGGGCCATAGTCAGCCATGGGAGCCTGCAAAGTGGATGAACATTTGAAAGTGTGATTTAAGATGTGCTGAAAATATAAACAGCAAATCAGATTTTTAAATGTAGTACCAAAAGCTATTAAATAGCTCGATAATCTTTTAAATTGTATGTCTTAAAAAATTGTATTTTTGTGTGCATGCATGTGTGCATGTGTGTGCCAAGCTCAGAAAGCAACTCCATCCACCGAGGAGTGCCAGGGATCGGCACCTAGCCACCATGCTTGGCAGCAAGCGCTTGGATCCACTGAGCTACCTGACCGGCCCACTAACCATTTTCATATTGGTTATATGTTGAAATGACAATCTGTACGCATTGGGTTAAAAATAAAATTCATAATTAAAATAAATCATACTAGTTTCACTTTCCTAAGTAGTCTATGAGAAAATTTCAAATGGCTCACATGGCTCATATTACATTTTATAATATAATTATACAAATACATATATTGGACAATGCAACAGCAAGCTACATATTAACAAAATGTTTTCACGTTCATCCACCATTTTACAGATCATTAAAAAATGCAAGTTAGTTTTTCCTCTTCTTCCTCTGAGAGCCCTGAAGCACATACACTGTTTAGGAGGAAAGAATAAGCACCTGGACAATGAGGGGAAGTCCCCTTCTGTGGTAGTGAACATAGCTTTACAGACGTTAGAGTCTGAGTCACAAAGGATTAGGGTACCCAGTCAGGACTCCCTCCTGAACTAAAATTTCCCCAGAAAGGTAGTGTAGACCTCCAGTTTGCTGGCCCTCCCATCCCCAGCACAATGTCCAGAGTTCTCTGAAGACTCTCTACGATTTTTTTTCCAAAAGAGAGAAACAATAACCCTGATATAAAATTAAAGAGTGTTGGATTCCAGCGTTAATGGGACATGTGTATTAGAAATCAAATCCCAAGCAATCAGAAAAACCAACCACGATTCTCGACAGCTCTTCCAGAGGCCTCCCCTGAGGTAAATGGCTGTTTCTAAGGACTTTTCCATGCTATCAGCTTTTCCTCGTTAAGGCCAATAGGATGTCAGGGTTTTACAGCCAAGCCAATAGGATGTCAGGGTTTTACAGCCAAGCCAATAGGATGTCAGGGTTTTACAGCCAAGCCAATAGGATGTCAGGGTTTTACAGCCAAGCCAATAGGATGTCAGGGTTTTACAGCCAAGCC